CGGTCAGGTCACTTTTTCTGGTGACGTGGTGTCTTCGCACGGTCACTAAACAAACCGTCGTAAGTCGAGGACTACCTGTATTGTTGACGGTGGTTCCTAAAAAGTAACATCAAAGGCTATATCATTTCCGAATCATAGAGCTCCACAACTCTATGGTTTGGTCGGAAGGCACCTTGAGTGTTGTGCTTGCCCTGAAAACCCTAATTTAAGAAGTTCTCACAAAAGTTGTAACAGGTTCCAGAAAGGAAAAAGAATAATATGGGCAGATTGGAACCCAAACTAGACTGAACGAACTGGATATCTTTAAACTTCAAAAAAATAAATAAATCAGATTAGATGAAGAGCTACAGGATTTCCTGCTTGAGTTTTTTCCACGGACCGAAGAGTGAATGGTTTTGTGTGCTGCCTGCATCTCATGGATGGGGCTTTGCTTGTTTGTGCAGGCTGGTTGCTGGCATGGTACTGGTCCACGGACCAGGGGTTGGGGACTCCTGGACTGGAAGACTTCTAGAGCAGAGGTCACCAACCTTTTCATGCTGGCAGCCCAGAGGGAAATGGAGCAGATGGGAAATTTGTGCACGTGTGCAGAAATGGGGCTGCGCGCACCCACACGGCGCTAGTGACCCTGTTTGTGTAGGTGTGCAGGCGCTAGCCAACTCCGCTAGCCCTGCATCATATGCAAATGGGCTGTGCAACCTGCGTGAACGCTAGTGGTCTTGTTTGTGCATGCACGCAGGCGCTAGCCCCACACGCAGGCGCAAGCGGGCTGTGGAACTTGCGAGCACACTAGCGGCCTTATTTGTGCGTGAGTGCAGGCGCTAGCCACCACTGCTAGCCCCGTGCACATGCGCAATTGGGATGTGCAACCCATGTGCGCACTAGCGGCCCAATTTGTGTAGGTGTATAGGTGCTAGCTGCTGGTGCTAGCCCAGCGCACATGCACAAATGTGTCTGCGAGCATGCAGACGTGTGCATGCACTGGCCAGCCTGTCCTGCGGCCCAGTGGCCAGTAGCCCACGGCCCATAGGTTGGGGACCCCTGCTCTATATTGATTCTGGATCAATAGCAGGAATGTCTACTTCTATAAATGGGAAATATTTTTCATCTGAGAATTATTACCGTAGAAGGCTGAGCAGACAACATTCTGGCATGGATTAATTTTAATAGGTAAAATTTGTCTGGCTATGGCTATTTATTTGGACCTAATAGATTTTTCCCAGCTGGTGTTTTTATTTTAAAAAGGAAATATTAACAGATGTACGATATAGAGTTGTCTAAATATATGGGAAAAAAATAAAGCAGTGGGTAGGAACTGAGCTTTTTCATGCACCTGGATCAAATGCCTATAAACAATGTAGTTAACCTTTGAAAATTTATCTAAACTTTATCTAAATTAACAAGGGACACTGAGGGCCCATTGTCTTCAACCACACGTTGAACTTGGCTGCTGAAATAATTTACTTTCTGGATTCCGGCAGTACAGATAGTCCTCGACTTAACGACCACAATTGAGCCTCAAAAGTTCTGCTGCTAAGTGAGACATTTGTTAAGTGAGTTTTGTCCCATTTTACCACAGTTGTAAAGTGAATCATTGCAATTTTTAACATGTTGTTAAATGCATCTCGCTTCTCCATGGCTTGTCAGAAGGTCCCAAAAGGGGATCACATGATCCCGTGACGCTGCGACCGTCATAAATATGAGTCAGTTGCCAAGCGTCTGAATTTTGATCACGTGACCGCGGGGTCGTTAAGTGGGAAAAATGGTCATAAGTCACTTTTTTCAGTGCTGTTGTAACCAGTCACTAAATGAACTCTTGCAAGTCGAGCACTGCCTGTACACTGGCCCATAAGTTACACCAACAAACTGAGTTTGTGCAACACATTAAATCACAGGTGTGCGATCAAGTTATCACAAACCAAGGTTAATTTCATACGCAATTGCATCTGCTTTAATGATTTTTTTTACAGAGGTTTCTATGAAGTGAGCTAATCTGCTTGTGAAAATTGATCAATTTTTGCCACGTATATTTTTTTCTCTTGATATAACCGCATGATTTTACTTCACAGAAAGCGGATATATATACATACATACATACATACATACATACATACATATATATATGTAGGTCTTTGGTTATTTGGGTTTTCTCCGCGTAAAATTGGAAGTGTCTTGGCGACGTTTCGACGAAGTCCCATTCGTCATCTTCAGGCTGGTGTTTTCAGCTTTGTGCTTCGAGGAGCAATATATGTATGTATGTATGTATGTATGTATGTATGTATGTATGTATATGTTTTCTGAGATTTTCGCAGATGTTTGTATGTAGGTCTTTGGTTATTCGGGTTTTCTCCCACATAAAATTGGAAGTGTCTTGGCGACGTTTCGACGAAGTCCCATTTGTCATCTTCAGGCTGGTGTTTTCAGCTTCGTGCTTCGAGGAGCACGAAGCTGATAACACCAGCCTGAAGATGACGAATGGGACTTCGTCGAAACGTCGCCAAGACACTTCCAATTTTACGCGGGAGAAAACCCAAATAATCAAAGACCTACACACACACACACACACACACACACACACACACACACACACAGAGTATGTTATCATCTATATTTTTGCTGCTTTGGATAAATTTATGCTGACTAAACTTTTAGTCCCAGCCCATTTGTGTGTATGTGATTAGTTCATTTTCACTGGTTGTGCCAAATTGCCCGATTTTTGCTCTTATTTGTACATGTTTTTAAATTTCTAATCTGAGCAGCTCAATGGAAAATATGAATAAGATGTCAATAAACCTTTCTATTAAAGGATTCTTGTGTTGCTCAGAGGAGACGAGTACGTTAGATTTATTACCCTAAAGCTGTCTTCACAAAATAAAAGGTTTTAGTCATTTATGGAGCTGCAGCATTTAATGGGCTGGATTAATTAATTCAAAGAATCTCTCAATTGATTAAATACTGTTCCTTCATAATGAAGCAACAGGTCTCTTTGTTCGGCTGCATAATTTATAGTTATAAATTGTTGTTCATTATTTTTACTGCTAAGGTTGTAGGTGTCAGGGTTACAGACTGGAAGAAGTTTAAATTATTTGAAGATTGTAAAACAGAGATGACACCTCATTCGTCCAAAAATCAAAACACAGATGAAAGGGTGAAACACACAAATTGAACTGAAAATTAAGTTGGTTGTGGCTGATGCAAGTTCCTTTTGAAGGTGGTGGGTTTATTGATTCTGAGAATGATCCAATCTTAATCTGAGCCAGTGCTTCATTCTCTGGTAAATATATACTAGGGGTCTTCAAACTTGGCAACTTTAAGACTTGTGGACTTCAACTCCCAGAATTCCTCAGCCAGGGCTGGCTGAGGAATTCTGGGAGTTGAAGTCCACAAGTCTTAAAGTTGCCAAGTTTGAAGACCCCTGATATATACGGTATTAACCTGATGAACGAATGCTAATCCATAGAAGGTTCAGCTCTATGCACCCCCTTCTCTCTGCCATTGAATTCAATGGGACAAATTTCTGGGTTGTTTTATATTGAGTGAAATCAAAACCATTTCTCAATAGTGTTACAGTTTCTAGGCCCGCTTACTCAGAAACACATTCCACCTGTCAAAGAAAGAGAGAGGCGTACCTAGAACTGAGGAGAAATTTCCTGACAGAACAATTAATCAGCGGAATGACTTGCCTCCCAAAGTTGTGGACGCTACATTGGTGGAGGTTTTTAAGAAGAGATTGGACAGCCATTAGTCTGGAATAGTGGTATAAGGTCTCCTTCTTGAGCAGGGGGTTGGGCTAGAAGACCTCCAAGGTCCCTTCCAACTCTGTTATTCTGTCAGTCAAGGAGAGAGCCAACCTAGAATTAAGGAGAAATTTCCTGACACTGATTCAAACATTTAATCAATGGAAAAACTTAACTTCCAGAAGTTCTAGATGCTCCATCGTTGGAGGTTTACAAGAACATTCCTGGCTGAGGAATTCTGGGAGTTGAAGTCCACAAGTCATAAAATGGTCAAGTTTGAAGACCCCTGTCTTAAATCTAACAAACAAAATGGAGGCTGGCTGAGGAATTCTGGGAGTTGAAGTCCACATAAAAGGGCCAAGTTTGAAGACCCCTGGTGTAGGGCTTCTTGCTTGAACATGGGTTGGACTAGAAGACCTTCAAGGTCCCTTCCAACTCTGTTCTGTGTGTTCTACACAGTGTCCTGATTTGAATGCAAAGGGGAAATTGTGTTTCAACACACTGTGGTGTGCATATTTAAACGTCTCCAAGCACTAGTGATCTCCTGGGATTCCCCTTGAATCCAAATGGCTTCCCAGTTCTTGTTTTCCTATCAATGTATTTTTGAGTTATGGTTTTAATTGTGTGTTTGGGGAGAAGTTTTATTTTTGTACTTTTTTTGTCCCCAGATGCCAGCAGTATACAGGTAGTCCTCAACGTACAGCCTTTCATTTAGTGACCGTTCAAAGTTACAACGGCAGTGCAAAAAGTGACTTACGACCATTTTTCATCTTTACAACATCCCCATGGTCACATGATCAAAATTCCCATGCATGGCCACTGACTCCTATTTATGACTGTTGCGGTGTCCCCCAGGGTCACGTGATTCCCTTTTGCGACCTTTTGACAATCAAAGTCCATGGGGGGCAGATTCACTTAACGACGGTGTCGTTAATGCACAACAACTGCATTGATTCGCTTAACAACTGTGGCAAGGAAGGTTGTAAAACTCATTTAACCATTCTCTTGCTTAGCACTGGAAATTTTGGGCTCAGTTGTGGTCGTAAGTCGAGAGACTACCGGCAGAAATTTATTAAGCCAATCCCTGGGATTTTATCACATCTTATTCAATTTTAACACCTCTGGCTTTTTAACCAGAGGTGGTGAGATGTGAATGCTCAGCTTGGTGGTGCAGGACAAACCCCGTCCTAACCACCTCCCAGCCAGCTTCCCTCTTCCTTCCTCTGCTGCTCCTCAATGATTTGTGTCCCCTTTTGTTTTCAGAAGGCAGGGAGTGTGTAAACTGTGGAGCTACCTCAACCCCACTATGGAGGCGAGATGGCACAGGGCATTACCTCTGTAACGCCTGTGGATTGTATCATAAAATGAATGGGCAAAATCGGCCGCTGATAAAGCCCAAAAGAAGACTGGTAAGTGAAAATCCAACTTCAAAAAAATGCACTAACTTCTTTTTCTCCTCTCTCTCTCCCCATCTCTCTCTCTCTTTCTCCTTCCTTCCTTCCTTCCTTCCTTCCTTCCTTCCTTCCTTCCTTCCTTCCTTCCTTCCTCCTCCCTCCCTCCCTCCCTCCCTCCCTCCCTTCCTTCTCCTTCTCCTTCTCCTCCCTCCCTTCCTTCCTTCCTTCCTCCTCCTCCTCCCTCCCTTCCTTCCTTTTCTTATTCCTCCTCCCTCCCTCCTTCCATCCCTCCTTTCCTCTTCCTCCTCCTTTCTCTCCCTCCCTCTCCCCTTCCTTCCTTCCTTCCTTCCTTCCTTCCTTCCTTCCTTCCTTCCTTCCTTCCTTCCTTCCTTCTCTTCCTCCCTCCCTCCCTTCCTTCCTTCTCCTCCTCCTCCCTCCCTTTCCTTCCTTCCTCCCCTCCTCCTCCTCTCTCTCCCTTCCTTCCTCTTCTTATTCCTCCTCCTTCCATCCCTCCCTCCCCTCCCTCCCTTCCTCTTCCTTCCTTCCTTCCTTCCTTCCTTCCTTCCTTCCTTCCTTCCTTCCTTCCTTCCTTCCTTCCTTCCTTCCTTCCTTCCTTCCTTCCTTCTCTCCCTCCCTTCCTTCCTTCTCCTCCCTCCCTCCCTCCTCCTTCCTCCCTCCCTTCCTCCCTTCCTTCCTTCTCCTCCTCCCTCCCTCCCTCCCTTCCTTCCTTCCTTCCTTCTCCCTCTCTCCCTTCCTTCCTCTTCTTATTCCTCCTCCCTCCCTCCCTCCTTCCCTCCTTCCCTCCTTCCCTCCTTCCCTCCTTCCCTCCCTCCCTCCCTCCCTTCCTCTTCCTCCTCCTTTCCCTCCCTCCCCCCCTCCCTCCCTCCCCCTTCCTTCCTTCCTTCCTTCCTTCCTTCCTTCCTTCCTTCCTTCCTTCCTTCCTTCCTTCCTTCCTTCCTTCCTTCCTTCCTTCCTTCCTTCCTTCCCTCCCTCCTCCTCCTTCTTTCCTCAGCCCAAGATGGAGAACTTTCTGGAGGGAGTAGAACTGGGCCAATCCGCCCAAAGTCTTATTTGTCTGTACAGAAGAGAGTTTATGAGGGGGCCCGCTCCCCATTTTTCACCATAAGTGCCAAGTTATGTACCATTTCTGTCTCTCTCTATATATATGACTTAAAAAAAAAATTCTGGAGCTTTTGCTTTGAAATTAGGGTTGGGGTGATGGTGAATGGTTTATCCCCAAGGGGGGGAGGGGTGGTTGAAGATGGAGGAGATGCAGAAAAAAATGGGGAAGAAAGGATTGATTAGAGGGAAAGGAGAGGTGGGGATAATGCCTTGATGCTGATCGTTTGAAGAAGTTGGAAAAGTCCCAAAAGCTTAAAGATGGTGAACTGGATGTCCCCTGAGGTGGGCTTGTTAGTGTTTTGAGAAGTTTCAGAAGCTGAAAAGAACGGGACGTTTTTAGCTCACCTTTCTCTGCAATAAAATGAGTGAAAGACTTGAAAGAGAAAAAAACCCTGTAAATCTGAGGTAATAATGGGTTGTCTTGACAAGCTAAACCATTCATTCATAAAAGTAGAGTAGAGATAATCCTTGACTTACAACCATTCATTTAGTGACCGTTTGAAGTTACAACGGTACTGAAAAGGGTTCCTATATGTCCGTTTTTCACACTTATTAGATTTAGATTAGATTAGATAACCTTTATTGTCATTTTTTCCCTGTGGGCACAATGGCACGCATTAAAAATGAAATTTAGTTGCTTCCTCTCAAAGTGTACACATACATAACACCCATTTAAAACATGCTATATACAACATATGTATAGAGCTACACCCTTACTAGCATCCCCATGGTCACACGTGTTCAAAATTTGGGCGGTTGGCCTCTGGGGTGTATTTATGACGGTTTCACTGTCCCGGGTGTGTGTGTGTGTGTGTTCACGTGATCACCTTTTGCAACCTTCCCAGCCAGCGTCCGACAAACAAAGTCAATGGGGGGAGCCAGGTTCGCTTAACGACCACGTTTCACTTAGTGACTGCAGTAGTTTGCTTAACCTCGGTAGCAAAAGAGGTTGTAAAATGGGACACAACTCCCTCATAGCTTAGCTGTGAGAAATTTGGGTTCAGTTGTGGTTGTAAGTCAGGACTACCTGTATTGTCCATGGAGAGCATCGTTAAGCAAATCTTTGGCCGTACGTTAGGATTTCAACTGCTGGATGCCTTTTTCGAACCACTGAGCGTTTCATGACCCAGCTAGGCAACATCAGCAGTGCTAGAAAGGAGTGGGGTTTGTTATCTTTTTATCTGCTAGTAGTGGATGTAGACTGTGGATTGCCAATTCCACAGCAGAGCAGGGGCTAACCAGATTATGGTTATGGAGAGAGAAATGGAGGGACTATGGTTTTGGACATACAGATATGGAGATCATATTTCCCTGGGTTAGACTTAATCCTGGGTTTGTGCCATTCTCACACTTAACTGTGTTTGACTGTTAGAATGTAAGGTGACTAGTTAAGGAGAAACACATTCCTCCCCCCCTCTAGTTAGGATGTTTCCCCCCCCCCATGGTCTTTTCAGCTCACCTGGGTTTTTCCTTATCAGGAACTTTGTGGATTCTTCCCCCCCCTCCACTTTGAAGATAAAAAAACAACAACCAAAAAGGAAACATTTATATGAGGAGAGGATATAAATGGCTCCAATGCCTGACCCACGACTGCGTCCTTCTGAAGCTGCTTCTCATTAGGAAAATAAAAGTTGGAGGGAACTTCCATATGACTGCGTGTACCGTGTCGTTTGGCCCTAAGGAAATAGGACATTTTTTTTCTTTCTACATCTGTTTCTCTAAATCTCTTGGAAGACGTACAAGGCTGTTTGGATAAATAAGCTGGTGCTTTGGATTGTAATGGAGAAGAGGGGGAGCGGAGTAAATTTTTCGGGGGTGGGTGGAGGGGGTAGAGGGTAGAGCTGAACCTTCAAGCCGATATTCTGCCTCCCCCCTCCTTTTCTTGATATAAGCCCCCCTTTTTAGGTAAGAGAGGGTTGGCCCATACAGGTAGTCCTCGACTTACGACCACAACTGAGCCTAAAATTTCTATTGCTAAGTTGAGACAGTTGCTAAAATGAGTTTTTGCCCCATTTTATGACCTTTCTTGCCACAGTTGTTAAGCGAATCAAGGCAGTGGTGAAGTTAGCCACACGGTCGTTAAGTGAATCTGGCTTCCCTATTGACTTTGCTTGTGAGGAGGTCGCAAAAGGGGATCACAGTGGTGGAATTCCGCCGGTTCTCATTGGTTTGGTAGAACAGGTAGCTAAATTTTTTTGAGTTTGGAGAACCGGATGAATGCACACTGCTTCTGGAAGTCTGTTCTAGGCCTCGGAGGCCTGAGGAGGCCTCCCAGGCCTAAAATGGCCCGCTGGAAGTGCGTGGATGCCACTTCCGGAAGTCTGTTTGAGGCCTCGGAGGCCTCTCAGGCCTAGAACGGCCCGCCAGAAGTGCATGAATGCCACTTCTGGAAGTCCATTCTAGGCCTCGGAGGCCTGGAGGAGACCTCCTAGGCCTAGAACGGCCTGCTGGAAGTACATGGATGCCATTTCCAGAAACCGTTCTAGGCCTTGGAGGCCCAGGCCTGAATCCACGCAGAGAACCGGTTGTTCAAGTGTTTGAATCCCACCACTGCCCGGGACACTGCAGCCGTCATAAATAGGAGTCAGTTGCCAAGTGTTTGAATTTTGATCAAATGATCATGAGGATGGGGCAATGGTCATAAATGTGAAAAACGGTGTAAAAAAAGTGATTTATGACCATTGCACCCTCCTCAAGTCACTTTTTTCAGTGCCGTTGTAACTTTGGTCACTAAATGGATGGTTGTGAGTCGAAGACTTACCTGTATATGGAAAGAGATTACATTAATTTCTACTCTTGAGTCATTTACACCATGTGAATTACCTATAAACTGATAGTCCTTGATTTACGGCCATTTCTTTAGAGACTGTTTGAAGTTATGAGGGCGCTGAAAAAAATGTGACTTACAACTAATCCTCACACTTATTTGAAAGGCTTCCTGATGGCACCAGGTGCGCTCTTATTTTTGCCACACCTTAAATGTGAGCAACATTATCCTGGTTAGATGTTTGAGAGCAGGGGTCTTCCAACTTGGCCCTTTTATGACTTGTGGACTTCAACTCCCAGAATTCCTGAGCCAGCCATGCTGAGTCAACCATGGCTGGCTCAGGAATTCTGGGAATTGAAGTCCACAAGTCATAAAGGGACTGTAGTTCCCAGCTCTCCTTTAGGTTGTCCACAATCCCTTTCAGAGTATGGTTCAACAAGGGCATTGTGGGAATTTAGATGGGGGATAGAACTGAAATTTGGAGAACAGCACTGAAATTCATGGTGCTGCTTTTAGAGCCAATGAGTTTTGTTTTGTTTTTTTTTAAAAACGACAATAGCAATAGCATTTAGGCTTATATACCACCCCATACCACATTAATTTGTAATGTAAGAAGCATTATTTGCATATTGCCCCAACAATCTGGGTCCTCATTTTACCAACCTCGGAAGGATGGAAGGCTGAGTCAGAAGAGAATAGAAGCTAACAAATCAGAATAGGAGTTGGAAGGCACTTTGGAGGTCATCTAGTCCAACCCCTTGCTCAAGCTGGAAATCCTATAACATTTCAGGCAAATGTCTGTCCACTCTCTTCTTAAAAACCTCCAGTGATGGAGCATCCACAACTTCTGAAGGCAAGCCGTTCCATCGAGTCCATTATTCTCACTGTCAGGAAATTTCTCCTTAGTTCTAGGTTGCTTCTCTCCTTGATTATTTTCCATCTGTCACTTCTTGTTCTCCTTTAGATGCTTTGGAGAATAGGTTGACTCCCCTCTTCTTTGTGGCAGCCCCTCAGATATTAGATATTGATAAAAGTCAACCTTGATCCCTGTCAGGATCGAAAGAAAGGGGATAGAGAACAAGCATTGAGGGTCAGTCTTATTAGACTTGTCAATCTTTTTTATTTT